CTTGAACAATATGGGTTTGAACTGCATAGGTCCACTTATAGGAGGATTTTTTTCACTAAACCTGTACTACAGGACTATATCATGCATGGCTGGTTGAATCCACAGATGAAGAATCACAGATAAGAGGTGGATTTTCAACTGTACTGTGGTTGGCACCCCTAACCGTGGCCTTGTTCAAGGGTCAATTATGCTAATGCTATTTATGTTGTAATTATGCTAATGTTGTCAGGACTAAAGTTTTTACTGTAAGAGACGAGATAAAAATATAATATCAAAGGATTTAAGTAAAAACTCTAATTTTTAATTCGATTTGGGTATATAGCTATAAATTCATGATATATTTTCTCTTTTAAAAAATATTTCCTAGCACTGTCCACTTAAAGAGGCTTTGAAATATGACCAACTTAGTATAAATATGCACCCACCTAGCACCCTACTATTTCCCACTAAAAGAGACAAGGCTCCCTTGAAGAAACGGCTGATTTCAGCTCCTAAACAGAAAATGGACTAGATGTGCTAGAAATATCCTATCATTCTAGAACTATCAGGGCCATCTAGGGTTCATAAGCAACCTAAAGAGGTTTCAATTGGCCAAAAATGGAATATTCTGAGTGCCAAGAAAACTCTAGTAGCTGTAGTAGATTGAAATGTATCAAGTATGCTAAAATAATTTATGATTCATAATGGTACCAAAACAAACACATTTAACTGATCACCTGAGGAAGGACAAAGAAACAAAGATTTATCCTGCCTTTCTTGTAAGAGTACCTTAGAGTAATCAAAGGATTGGTAGGGAAAAGTTATTTCTATAAGGATTTTCACTAATATCGCTACACTGCAACCCCTTTCTGAAATAATGGATCTAGGCAATGATCACCAAAGACAGCTAAACCATTAGGTGAAAAGCTGACAGGGAATTTTCAATGAGTGGATGAACACTGATGATACCTGAATCAACTGTTCAATCTTAACATCACCAAAAGACAACCCATTAGACATTATGTATAAAAACATCCTTGCCAAAAATCAAACGTGATTCTGATAAACACTCTACATCTACCAGCTCATAGTAAATACAGGGGATAGAGGAAGAACACTCAATGATATCAAGGAGATTCAATCAGCAAAATCCAGAAAGTGAGAATCTCCACAGGAAAACAAACCAGTTTCTTCAAAAAGTAAACTGCAGGGACAAAGAAATTAATAGGGAAGGGTACTTATAAATTAAGAGGCTAAAGAGACATGTTAATCAAATGCAATGTGTATACCTTGTTTGAATCTTGGTTTGAACAAACCAACTGTAACAATCAAGCTTTTTGAGATAAGAAAGAAAGTGAAGTTACTCAGTCATGTCCAACTCTTTGCGACCCATAGACTATAGCCCCCAGGCTCCTCCATCCATGGGATTTTCTAGGCAAGAATACTGGAGTGGGTTGCCATCTCCTTCTCCAGGGGATCTTCCCGACCCAGGGATCAAACCCAGGTCTCCTGCACTGCAGGCAGACTCTTTACCATCTGAGCCACCAGGGAAGCCCCTTTTATGAGATAAAATAGTGCCAAATCTGAACGTTTACTAGGTATTTGATGACATTAAGGGATAAAAGCTTATTTTGAGGTGTGACAAGAGTATGAAATTATGATTAAAAATTTAAGTCCTTTATGCTAAAACTCAAACTGCAGTATTTGCATATTATATAATATAATGCCTAGAATTTGCCTCAAACAAATCCAAAGGGGTTAGTGGAAAGTGGGCGAGAGTACAGCAAAAATAAGTTGGGCCACGTGTTGGTAGTTATTGGAGCTTAGTAATGGGTATATGTGGTTTGTTATACCATTCTATACTTTAATATGTTTATAATTTTCCATAATACAAAATGAAAGAAAAAAATAGTACAATAAAGGAAACAAAATCTTAATACATCTACTTAGCTCAGGAGTGAATATTTATAGAGTCATAACAATATAGGGGCTTCCCAGGTGGCTCAGTGGGTAAAGGATCTACAATGCAGGAGACACAGCTTCAATCCCCAGATGGGGAAGATCTCCTGGAGGAGGGCATGGCAACCTACTCCAGTACTCTTTCATGGAGAATCCTATGGACAGAGGAGCCTGGTGGGCTATAGTCCATAGGTCGCAAAGAGTCAAACAAGACTGGAACGACTGAGAACACACACATGCATAACAAACAGACCCTAAATAATAGTGAGACCAATTTGGAGGCTATTGCAGCAGTCCAAGAGAAGATGGAAGTTTGGACTGGAATGGTAGTGATTATGTAGTGATAATGGTGATGGAAATAGAAAGAAGAGGGTGGAGTCAAGATATTTTTAGAAAGAAAAACTGAACCCAATAAATAAATAACAAAACCAAACAACCCCCGCCCCTGCCCCACAGCACCAAAAAAAAAAAAAAAAAAAAAAGGAAAGGAAAACTGAAAGGACTTGGAGATAATTAGATGCGGCTGAGGAGGAAGAGGTGGGATTAAGACAGAGGAATCTAGAGGGATACCCTACTGGCCTAGTAGTTAGGGCTCTGCACTTCCACTGCAGAGGAGCATGGGTTCGATCCTTAGCTGGGGAACTAAGATCCTGGAAGCTGCATGGCCCAGCCATAAAAAAGAGAAGTCAAAGATGATATATGTTTCTAGTACATGTTGCTACCATTTACCAAGGTGAGAAAAAAAAGGCACACTTGGAAAGGGAAGAGGATAAATTTAGTTTAGGGCAATGTTTCTCAACCAGAGGTGATTGTACTGCACAAAAGATACCTGGAGACATTTTTGGTTGTCACAACTGATTGACGGTCCCTAAGGGCAGAGGCCAGGGATGCTGCTAAACATCCTACAGTGCACCCAACAGTCCCAAACAATAAATAATTATTCAATTCAAAATGTCAATAGTGCAGAGGTTGAGAAATCTTGATGTGGGCCAATGCTGACTTGAAGAGCTCTGCAGGACAATGCTCAAGAGGGAGCTGGAATGAAAATATAAGTTTAGGAGTTGTCAATTTATAGGTGGTCATTCCAATTATCTATCTGTCTAGTCAAAGCTATGGTTTTTCCAGTAGTCATATATGGACATGAGAGTTGGACTATAAAGAAAGCTGAGCACCAAAGAATTGCTGCTTTTGAACTGTGGTGTTAGAGAAGACTCTTGAGGGTCCCTTGGACTGCAAGGAGATCCAACCAATCCATCCTAAAGGAAATCAGTCCTGAATGTTCATTGGAAGGACTGATAATGAAGCTGAAACTCCAATACTTTAGCCACCTGATGTGAAGAACGGACTCATTTGAAAAGACCCCAATGCTGGGAAAGACTGAAGGCAGGAGGAGAAGGGAATGAGAGGATGAGATGGTTGGATGGCATCACCGACTCAATGGACATGAGTTTGAGTAAAATCCAGGAGTTGGTGATGGACAGGGAAGCCTGTTGTGCTGCAGTCCATGGGGCTGCAAAGAGTCAGACACGACAGAGCAACTGAACTGACTGACTGATTCCAATCATCAGCTATAGGGGTGTGCAATCTCCCATGAATATATTCAAAAAGAAGGCCAAGGGCAGAGTCCTGGAGGACACCAACACTTATCATGGGAAAGAAAATGAGAAAAAGATCCCATGAGAAAGACTAAGAGATTTTGGCCAGTGAAACAGGAGGAAAACCATCAGAGAATGGTATCACAGAAACCAAACAAAAAGTGTTCCCAAGGAGGAAAATAAGAATAAGAAGTGGTGCCAAAGGCAGAGAAAAGTTGAATATGTTACGGGCAGAAAGTTTCCACTAAATTTGGCAAAACAGAGGTCACTGATAACTTTGGAAAGATTGATTCCTAGGGATTATTGGGGGCAGAAGCAAGAACCATCAGATTTTTTTTAAAAAGATGAAATATACTGACCATGATTATGAACTGAAAGAAAAGAGCTGACAGAGGTGGGAAAAAGGGGTAAATAAATAGGTGAAAGAGGGAATGTAATGAAGGAGCAAGGATCCTGGGGAGAGAGATGAGTCCAAGATGGTGTTTCAAGAAGAACAGCCTTGGACAGGGAGAACTGACAGCATTTCAATGAGATAAGAGGAAAAAGGGGGGCAAGGTTTCAGCAAAATTGGTAGATGGTAGGGGAAGTAGCTAAGAGAGTTCTCATCTGATGGTCTTAATTTTCCAGTGAAGAACCAGGCACAGCCAATCTGTCAAAAGCAAAGGTAAATGTGATAGGATAGGAAATTCGAGGAGAGGTAAAAATTTAGAATAGTCACTGAATACAATGGGAGAAGATGCTGATAAGGGTCATGTAGGAAGATTTTTGGAGAATGATGCTATGATGAGAGCTATGTCCTGGCCAGGAAATCTTTCAGGTCAAGATGTATCCTATCAGAAGGAACTACCAAGTGTCAGAAAGCTGATGGATACTGGTAAGTATAAATAGGGAACAAGTATGTCAGTTGGGAGTCCTGTTTAGTCCTTGTAAGTAAGGCTTTTGCCTTTTTAAGTTCCAGGAGGGCAGGCACCATGTTTGAGTCATCCCTGGACCCCAGCACCTACCACAGTACCTGACCCATAGTAGGTACTCAGTAAATAATGGGTACATGAAACAGAAGGATGTAAAAATGTCATGATGTAGATGTCTTATGCCCACTCCCACATCTCTCATTATATTTTTCAACCTTGTTCTGCTGAAAACACTAGCCTTCCCACTATTTCAGACATATGCTACCTGCTATCCTGTCCTCATCAGTACCTCTATGTTCTAAATTTTCCCCCTATTAAATTCCTTGGACATTTGACATTTGCAATAATGGATGCAGTTCTCTCTCCCCCTCTCCATCCTCTCTGAAATGAAACACTAGCAATGTTCTCTCTGACGTTAAGAGGTACACTTTCAGAACAGAACCCCTCCTCCCCTGCAGCACTAGATGCGGTTCTATTATTAAAATGTCAGGGTTGCTGTAGTTAGACTGCAATGCCCTGGGTCATCTTCAACCAGCCTTTCTTTGTTCCTTATTACCTGTGCCACTTGATTGTGTTTCTCAGGGATGTTTTTCAGATGGTTAGACTGTACACAGACTACGTCCCTGTCTATGGAAAGAAAAAAAATTTGATTTACATGGTTTTCTTCCTAAAAGATAATTAGAAGAATGTCTGGCAACTCAAATCCTCTCCTCCAAAGAGGCATATGCAGATGTGAAGAAGCAAAGTACCTAATTCATGCTCAAGGACATTTTCCAAAGGAAAAACCTGCTTCCTGGTCTGGCCGTTAAAACACCTATTCTTAACAGAGCTAGTTCTCAATATTTTCTCTCCTGCCACAAATGCATGATATGACAATGTATGCTTTCTGTTCAGATTTTAAGAGGGAAATAAAATGTAATGGGTTTTGTTTTTCTGTTAGTGAATAACAGAACACTGACGTCATATACTCATTTAATTCAGTACACAGGGGGTAAAAAAGAAACCCAAGTGCCTGCCCTAATGAACTGCAGTTTAAGGCATATGGATATTAAACAGTGTGACTAATATAAAAAGATGGTTTTTTCAAGTGGATTTATTGAAAATGGGCAAATGGAAAATTCAGGAATGGAATCTGGGAATGGATACTGGAATTAAGTCTCAGAAATATGACATTGTGATTTTCCTCACAGAACTCACCTTCCCTACCAATTCTTTTAAGGTAGATTTATCACAGAAAGCTCTAATTTTCAGAGACTTAGGGATGTAAAATAGAAAGGGCATCTCTCTAATAAGCAGGAGAACACTATCAGTACAGAAAGTAACATAAAACGAAGACAATAATGATGACAATGATGACAACAGTGATGATAATGAGAGAGCAACAGTACCAGCATTAACATTGATGAAGTGCTTACCAGGTCTCAGGCATATGGTTTTTAGAGGAAGAAAGCTGGGGGCGGAGGTTGATTGCTAGCACTATAATAGAATAATTACTCACCAAAAAGTATCCCCAATTAACCTTGTTTTTTTATGTCTTTTTTATTGAACTATAGTTGATTTACAATTTTGTGTTATTTTCACATGTACAGCACAGTGGTTCAGATATATACACATATACACACATACATATATATGTTTTCAGATTCTTTTCCTTTAAAGGTTATTACAGAATATTCAGTATAGTCTAATATATAGCACAAGGACCTGTGCTATACAGTAGGTTCTTGTTAGTTATCTGTTTTATATATAGTAATGTGGTGTCTATGTTAATCCCAAACTCCTAATTTATCCTTTCCCCTCACTTTCCCCTTTGGTAATTGCAAATTTGTTTTGTGTTTGTGGATCTATTTCCGGTCTGCAAATAAGTTCATTTGTATTATTTTTTTTAGATTCCACATATAAGCAATATAATATTTTTCTTTATCTGTCTAGCTTACATCACTTAATACAATAACCTCTAGGTCCATCCATGTTGCTGCAAATGGGATTATTTCATTATTTTGTGGCTGAATAATATTCCATTGTATATATATATACATACCACATCTCCAATTAACCTTGTGATCGTGCTCTGAATCAGAGGCTTCCAATTCAACCTTCTCCTTTGGGCTTCCCTGGTAACTCAGATGGTAAAGAATCTGCCTGCAAAGCAGGAGACCCAGGTTCGATCCCTGGGTTGGGAAGATCCCTGGAGAAGGGAATGACAATCCACCCCAGTATTCTTGCCTGGAGAATTCCATGGACAGAGGAACCTGGTGGGGCTACAGTACATGGGGCATCAAAGGCTTCAAATTCAACCTTCTCCTTTAAATCCACCATATTTCCCACTCCTCCCCACTCCCACAGACACTGTTCTCTGCAACCTCCCCTTTCCTCTCAGTGTTTGGTTTGTTATTTCTACTAGGCACATGCTTCAGCTGACCTCTCCAAGTTCCTAGGTAGTACCCCACAGTCTTTGGATTGTCACAGAGAAGGTGGACTTATTTCAGTAGCCATCAATGACAAGCTGGAGAAGGCAGAAGGACAGGATAGGGACAACAGGTCAATTAAAACCAAGCAGGACAACAATACCAAGAATGAAAGAGTGTTCTTTGGATGAGAAAAAAATAAAAGATGCTTGACTGGGAGGTATGACTACATGAAAGTCCATGGCTGAGAAGATAAAAGCACTCCATAGACACTTTATAGAAGAAAAAGAGTCCCAATCTTTCCATAAAGCAGGAGCTGAAAAACTTTTTCCATAAAGGAAGTGTACATGTGTGCTTAGTTTTGTCTAACTCTTTGTGACCCCCTGGCCGTAGCCCACCAGGCTCCTCTGCCCATGGAATTTTTCAGGCAAAGATACTGGAGTGGTTTGCCATTCCCTTCTCCAGGGGATCTTCCCAACCCAGGGATCAAACCCAAGTCTCTGGCGTCTCCTGCAGTGGAAGACAGATTCTTCACCACTGAGCCATCTGGGAAACCCAATAAAGGGCCAGAGAGTAAATAATTTTAGGCTTTGCAGGCCGTATGGTCCCTATCACAACTATTTAACTCTGCCACAGCAGTGCAAAAGTAGCCACAGATAATCCACAAACAAGTGAGCTCAGCTGTGTTCCAATAAAACTTTATTTACAAAATCAATCAGCAGAGCAGATGTGGCTTTTGGGCCATAGTTTGTCAACCTCTGCCACAAATTAGATTCTGCCTCTCTGCAGCCTCATTATAAGTTTTCAAAGTCTGAGATCTTTTTAAGGAGGTAGCAATGTGTACTGGTTGAAAAAGTGGCCTTGCATCAGATCAACCTAAGTATAAACCTTAGATCTGGCACTTTCTAGATGTGTGTCCTTCAGCAAATCATTTAATCTCTTGGGTTTCCCTGGTGGTGCAGTGGTTAAGAATCTGCCTGCCAATGCAGGGAACATGGGTTTGATCCCTGGTCCAGGAAGATTCCACATGACATGGAGCAACTAAGCCCATGTGCCACAACTACTGAAGCGCCCGTGTTCTGCCAACAAGAGAAGCCACCACAATGAGAAACCCACACAACACAACTAAAGAATAGACCCCTGCTTGTTGCAACCAGAGAAAGCCTGTGTGCAGCAACAAAAACTCAGTGCAGCCAAAAATCAAAAATTTAAAATAGACAAAACTAATAAAATCACTGAGACTCAAGTATTCATCTGTAAAATGATAGTGTCTACCCCTCAGTGTGACTGGAAACAGTAAAACAAGATAATGATGCATGTTACTCACTTAGCATAGAGCCTCGTCCCCAGCAAGTGCCCAGTTAAGTATTGGCTGATATTATTAGCTATTAAGGAGACTTAGTAGATAAAGGATAGGGAAGTATGGACTTACAGTAGGTATAATAGGATGGAGAAAACAGAGCCCCTTGGAACTGAGTCCAGTTGTTGTCATATTGACTCCATTAAGCCCTTGAAGGTAAAATTATCTAGTCTCTGAAAAATTTTCTTCTGAGCTTCAAATTTCACCTGCAAAAGAACATAAGCAATGAAACAAACAACTTCAGCAGTATCAACTCAAAGAACAGAAAACAAACAGGATGAGAGAAAGTAGTCCCACGAATCCTTGGGTCATGGTCTCAGCAGATAAGGAACTCAGAATGATGGGACAGCCACAGATCTAACATGGTATTGGGAAAAGGTTAAGTGAGCTCTTGTGTAAACTCATCGTTCTATCTGACCTTTCAGACTGAACATTCCAGCTATATGTTAGTGCTGTCCAGTAGACCTTCTGTGATAATGGAAATGTTCTCTATTGGTGTTATGTTCTCTATAATACGGCAGCCTACACTAGCTACAGGTGGCTACTGAGCCCTTGAAAAGTGACTCATGCAACTGAGGAACCAAATTTTTCATCTTATTTCATTTTAATAGCAGTTGGCTCTGCTATCATGTATGACAAGCATTCTTACTCCATACTATGCACAATACTCCAAACAAATCACAGGGCTCACAGGAAAATGGGATTGCGCACTCACATTCCAAACTTTTATCAGTTACATTCACAGAAAATGTAGGAAACTAATAAAAACAACACAGTTTTCTGCATGTTAAATGGTTAAGCAATGTATAAATGGGATGGCATGTTACCACAAAGACCTGAAACTTACTTGTGGAAGTGGCTATCCACTTGTGAGTTACCATGAAATGGTGAAAAGAGGGTTATGTGGGTGGAACAGAAAGTTCTCACAGCAGATGTGAATGGCTGTGGCTCATAACACACTCAGTGAACTGAGGGAGCCGGGAGATGTATGATATGTGTACACTTGTTCATTTTATGAATTCGTACCCAGCTCAGTTTATCTTTTATCTTGTGTTTCTTATGTTTTATCTTATGTTTATCTTATGGATGAAGTCATTACTAAGCAAACATGAAATCTGCATTATGTTCAAATTGTTCCCTAATACCTCAATCTGATGGAACAAATTTTCATTTTCAAAACAAGCATTAGAGCAGAATTGACTGTATTTAAATTTAAATAGCCACATGTAGCTAGTGGCTACCATGTTGGAAAGTGCAGCTATATATGAAGTAAGAACAGTTGCTACAGACATACACAGAGCCTTAAGTATCACACACACAAAAAAAAAATCAAGGAAGAAAGGAAACAGGTATTTGGATATAAGGCTCTAGTGTTTGGAAGACATAACTGGCCTAAAGTGAAAATTTCAGATTCATTAGCATATTGCTTTTCTAAGGACCTGTTGGGGCATCTGGGTAGAGCTTTCCAGCCAAGCTTCCTACAAGTCTAGTACCTGATGGGATAGAGTAGTAAAGACTTGAGCTGGGTCCCTACCTTGAGCTGTTCTTCATAGCTCAGCCTCCAGAGTGGTGTCACAACATCAACCAGCCTTGAATAAAATAAACCAGGTACCTAATTCAATATCTAAATATGTACTGAGCTTCTTACTCCACAAAAGTACTTCCTGCCGCCAATTGCTCCGGCATTTTACTCGTCATTCAGAAGACCTAACTCTCAGACCCCCGGGGAGATAAGAGTCTGGGAGAAGAGCCCATTTTGGTGCTATCTGCTTAACAAAGCTGAACAGATGGGCAAACCTAATATAAGAAAAGTCCAGATTTATCAGGAGGTAATTAATCATATTACAAAAAGGCTTCACTGTTGGGTTCCTTTAAATAGCTCACCTCCCTAACACTTTTAAAATATAATTTGATTTAGAAAATACAGTTGTTGCATAAAATGAGGTGTATTTGTATTTGCATGACTGCAATGGGACTATTCATTTCTAATCCATCTCATCTCCAAGTCCCTTGTTTTCAGCAGACCTATCCTGGACCTTTTTAGACACAGGATCACAGTTTAATATCCCCTTTCTGCCAAAAACACACGTAAAGGCAAGAATATTTTCTGCAGTCCCAAAGCATTTCCGCCAGCATTCCTTAGATGTTTTCAGTTTGTCCTGGGTATACTACCTGAGGTGCCCTCTGAATCCTTGCAACGCCACATTGTACATCAAGCCTACAGAATTTCAACAGGCCCAGAGATTCAGACTTGTTAAAGGGAAGGGCCTTACCTTTCCTGCCAGAAACCATCTAGTGGTCCAAGATGTCTTAGTTTCTTCTGACTTTCCTGTCCTCTTTGACGTTTCTTGGCTATCACCTGGGTGAAGTTTTCTTTACATGCTGAGCCCAGAAAGAGCTGTGACCAACCTGGAGGTTTTCTGGCATACCAGGGGAGCAGCCCCAGTTTGGAGAAGAGACCCATTCTGGAGAGGAAGCATCTTAGGCTGTGCCCTGGGACTCTTAATACCTGAAAACCACAGAAACACTGAAATTCACCAGCAGGAAAGGTGGACAAACAGAAGTAGGGAAACAGAGGAACAACTTCAAAAGTCCTTCATTCATTTAGAAACCTTACCCAGCACCTAGCACAGTGCCTGGCACAGAGTCACTGCTTGGCTGAACTCAATTACTGCGCTCCAAGCACTGGCTATGGCTCCCAATATAAAAAGATGAGGAAAAGATAGTATCTGTCCTCCAGAAAAGGGTTCAACTCTCTGGACATACTTTTGTGGCCAGTCCCTCTCCATTCTACCCTCCTACTAAACAACCCATCAACCAACTAATATTTAGTAAGTACTGACTATGTGCCAGGCACTGTGCCACACTAGACACTAGAGGGGTTACAAAGGTCATAATCTATTGAGTAATTTAGGAGACCAAGCATGGACACAGGAAAAGACCAAATAATCCCCTATGACTGGTTCCTGATGAGTGCTCAGGAAAGGTTTCTCACAGTAAGCAGACCATGCACTGGGTCTTAAAAGAAGGCAGGGAGGTGAATCAGATATTTGAAGGACAGTGGCTCGATCAACCTGGCTAAAATGGTAGTTCATTTCAGGGAACAGGTGAAATCAGGTTGAAAAGTTCCACCAAAGGGTTATCTGGAAGAACTTTAATGCCTGAGCAAAATGTGGACTTTATTGTGAAGGCGATTGTGAGCTGATGGAGGCTTTACATAGAAAAATTATGATGAAACACAGAGGTTAATAAAAAGCAAAGTCATGTTTGAGGCATGTGTTTGAAATGGTAAGGAAACATCCAAGTGGAAACATCTAACAAGTAGAGAAGCAGTACAATTCAGGAGAGGAGTCAGGGTGAGAGACTTGGTCAAGTGTCTACAAGATTAAAAAGGAGCTTTTAGCAAAGAGAAGAGCAAAATGACAAAACCTGGGAGAAAAGCAACATTTGGAAAGCAAGATGAGATGCTGGTGACCCAGCTGAATCAGGGGATTACAGAGCTTGGTGGCCAAGGGAGATGACTTTTGGCAAGAGCACTGACCCATTCAGTAAGTCTGAGTCCAAAGAAAAACAGGAAATAAGGCAATGGGAAATGGTAGGCAGTAGGGACAAAAGAGAGTTTGAGACCTTAGGAGTGCAGACCCTAGAGTCATGAAGACCTGGGCAGTTCCCTGGCTCCACCATCTGCTAGCTAGGTGGCCTTTGGCAGGTTAATCATTCTTTCTGATCTTCCTCTTTTTCATCTGCAAAATGCAAATAATAATAGCACCTACCTTATAGAGTAGCTGCAAGAGTTAACAAAGAATAATTAATAAAAAGCCCTTAGCAGAACATTAAATAGAGATGATGTTTGTAAAACTCAGAACGCAGTGTCCAGTGCCTGGGAAAAAGTCACTACATGTTAATTACAACTGTCATGATGTTTAAACACAGTATGGGACTGAGTGGGGGTGGCAATATTAAAGGAAGGGAGCAGAGGGGGAAAGAATAGTGGGAATAACTATGAGTCAAAAACTGGAAGTGTTAGAACAGGTGAATGACCTCACTTTGGAAAGAGGTAGTAATCCCTTTTTCCCAACACAAGACTTTGTGTTGTTGCCTATTTATCTAATGGTGTATGATCACTGATGTGTAACTTTTTTGAACACCCAGGACACGTGAATGGACTCAGACACCTTACTGATCTGTCATGAAATAACTTTTTTGCCCTTGCCCTCTACCTTGGATTTCATGTTAAGTCATATTTTAATTCAGAATGAAATATATTTAAAGTTTAATTATGGAATAGGTTTATCAACAAAGATTCTTCCATGGCTCTCTCTATTACCACAAAATTAGTATGCATGATCACTAGGTAATTTAAAGGATGCTGACATGAGTGATATAATATTTAGCCATATAACATTTTGTATGTTTACAAAGTACTAAAGAAGGTAACTGTCATAACATGGAAGCATTCTGGTGGGGGAGTGGTTAAATTTCTAACAGGATATATGTAAGTTGGCCCAGAGTTCAGGTGTTAACATCAGTTCAGTTCAGTCCCTCAGTTGTGTCCGACTCTTTGCAACCTCACGGACTGCAGCACGTCAGGCCTCTCTATCCATCACCAACTCCCTGAGTTTACTCAAACTCATGCCCATTGAGTCAGAGATGCCATCTAACCATCTCATCGTCTGTCATCCCCTTCTCTTCCCATCTTCAATCTTTCCCAGTATCAGGGTCTTTTCGAATGAGTCAGTTCTTTGCGTCAGGTGGCCTAAGTATTAGAGTTTCAGCTTCAACATCAGTCCTTCCAATGAACATTCAGGACTGATTTCCTTTAGGATGCACTGGTTGGATCTCCTTACAGTCCAAGGGACCTTCAGGAGTCTTCTCTAACACCACAGTTCAAAAGCATCAATTCTTCAGCACTCAGTTTTCTTTATAGTCCAACTCTCACATCCATACATGACTACTGGGAATACCATAGCTTTGGGACAGACATTTGTTGGCAAACTAATGTCTCTGCATTTTAATATGCTGTCTAGTTTGCTCATAACCTTTCTTCCAAGGAGCAAGTGTCTTTTAATTTCATGGCTGCAGCCACCATCTGGAATAATTTTGGAGCCCCCAAAACTAAAGTCTGTCACTGTTTCCATTCTTTCCCCACCTATTTGCCATGAAGTGATGGGACCAGATGCCATGATCTTAGTTTCCTGAATGATGAGTTTTAAGCCAGCTTTTTCACTCTCCTCTTTCACTTTCATCAAGAGGCTCTTTAGTTC